ATCAATGGTGCATACGATGCCATCGCCATCTGTTAGCGAAATGGCTCCAATGGTGACTAGCATTATTCCAACGGTAGCACCTAAGTGTTCTCCAGGATTTACTGGAAGTGATTGCTCCATAAGTAAGTGATGAATGCATTTAGATTTTGTTTTTAATACAATACCAGCGCCGGTAAACAATGCTAACTGTTGTTGTTTTTTGCTGTCATAGATATTAATGACTGTGAATACGAAAACTGCTCAGGAAATGGAGTGTGCATTGACAAAATAGATGGATTTCTATGTGAATGTAGAAATAATTACTTTGGAGAAAATTGTGAGAAAAGTAAGTCTCGTTAGATGTTCATAACGACACTGTAAACTTAGGAACCATTTCTACTTTTGCGAAAAAGCAAAGAAATATCTGATTGAATTTAGAGAGGAAGATTGAAGGCAAATAAATATCTCTGTATTTGTCACTTGTTTTTTTTAATTTAGCTCACATTTCTTTCATTTTAAAATGTTTACTTGGTGTAGCCGTATTAAAGGATATCATTGATGATGTTAGACTTGAAGGCGATGGTCAATAAGCGACATTACGTTTACTTCTTCGAAAATTTAGCGAAAGCTTAGCCATTATGGGCACTGATTTGATTTGAAAGTATATAAACAAACGTATTTGGTTATACCAATGAAGAAAACATATGTCTAACACATAAACGTAGACAACCTAATGCCGTCTGAATTTATCGCGTCTTTGTCCTTAGAAATTAGTGCCTGTAGTCCAAACCCATGCGGAAACGATGGAACTTGCACAGAAGATGGTAAAACGTTCAGATGTACATGCACTCCAGCGTTTGAAGGGACAACCTGCCAATCAGGTATGGGCCTGTCTGACATTTCCCGTTCCAGTAATATATCGTTCCAACGAAGTACTGCCAAGTAGGGAATAACACATGTATCCACGTAGTAGTTAGAAAAGCGTGTTCTGACGTTTTTTAAGTTAACCTTGATTTTAACACAACCTCTCGCTAGTTGGTTTCTAGATAACGAATTTATTATCAATCTCAAGAAAGGTAAAAGTGATATGGTGCTGTTTGGAAAAGCAAAAATATCAAGCGGATTAGATGGTAAAGAGCTATGTATGTACCGAGGGGCTACCCTGTAAAAATATTCAGTATTAACACTATTACTATTATTATCATCGTCATCATTACTATTATTACAAATCGCCAATATATCATTCCAACTCAAACATTATTCGAATGTCGCCGATAAATCGCGACTTTCTCGATAATCGACGACTAACGTTTGCATTGCTATGCACGGTACTGTACCTGTGCCCAACAACATGATATGGTGATAACTGATAAATTTTGTTGAAGGAAAGCAGGCTGAATGAATACAGCACTTGACAAGGAAAACAGTGAAGAATTTGATCCGTTTTCTTGCAAGCTTTCTTATCCCTTCTTGGACCTCGTACTCTGTTTTTGCACGCTGCTTATGGATGTTGTTGTCCTCAGTCCAAAATCGACGCGTTTGACTTGTATCGGAGTCTAATATGTCGTTTTCGCTGTTTCTTTTCTAATTTTTTTTAATCTTTTCCATATGTTGATATGTTATCGTTGATCTTTTTTATACAGAGAAGCCTACCCAAAAATTTGCCGGCAGAGTGAAACTGGATCAAGCTTATGACGAGGAGTATAATGATATCAACTCACCAAGATCTCGTGCCCTCATTACAGTTTTGGACTCGAAATTAAAAGTATTTTTAAAAAAGGAGTTTCCAGATTTAATAGATATTATTTACAAGAGGTTTTTCAAAGGAAGTGTTGGAGTTGACTATGAATTGCTATTTCCAACAACCTCAAATGTGACTGATAGCAACATCGTGCAAGCTCTTAAGGAAGGTAATGGCTCGAGCGATCTGGGGTTTTTGAGGCTGACGGGAGATATAACCGTAACGAAGCAGGTCGTTCAGATGACAGCAGCACCAACTGCAACCACAGGTAACTTACAGTGTCTTTCTATTTTTCATGTTGCTTTTATGTTGTTAGCCTTCAATGAAGTTCAGGGTAATTTGACTTGCTTTAAAATATCCACTACCATATTTGTTTAACTATAATAACACGAAATGAAGATTATCATATTTCCGGCTGGAACCTCTCTTTGGGACATCTATACTTTTAAGGAACATTTCCACAATTTATGCTGAGTATATTTCGTTTGAAAAGTTCGCCCTTGACTCTGTATCTGTTCAGACGATAGAAGGGACAGTAACAGACGACCCGAGATTGTCCTCTACCTTCCTATACCTTCCATCACATCGACGAAAACGAGCGAAGCCAGGCCATGATTAGGCTGCATGGCCGGTTCTGCTACCAGTATATAGGCGCAAATGTTCAAATCAACAATTGCGCTTATTCTTATCTATTTCTTTGATTATGTATTTGGCCGGTATGAGGCCTTTCATGCGGTTTACCACTAACTATGGATTCAGGCCGTGCTTTAGATC